GTTATTATTGAATATATTAAAATAAAGGAGAGTTAATTTTCTCTACAAAATTATAAGGATTTATATAAATATAATATTCAACTTACACATAATTATATGATTTGTAAATAATGGTGTTCTTACTTACTTATGATTTATTTTATATATAAATTTTCTTACAACTTATTTATGTAGTTTATTAGCTTATTGCATTGAAATAAACAAAAAATGAGGGACAATTTTTTTTATTAATTCATGCAAAGTTACTAATGTATGGGATGGTAATTGTTAAAATCTCATAAATTTCATCGTAATGAACGAAAAAGGAGGCACTATTCTTACATTTTGCCCAGGGCCTAATAAAGGCTAGGACCGGCTCTGGTTGTACTCCTTTAGTGTTTGATATAAGAAGATATCAGCTTTACATGGTATCAGATCAAACAAGAAAAATCCATTAATTTGAGCCTCAAGCCAAGTGGGTTTCATAGTTCTTCCAACGTTTAGGTATAGATAGTAAATTGAAAACATGATAAGTGCAGGGGCTTACCTTTTGAAAAAGTACAGGGATTTCCCGACAAAGTGTGAAGGACAGCTTCAACAAAGAAATAATCCTCACTATCCCAATCCCAGATAGCTCACAATAGAATTTCCTGTTGTCAAGATATCAGAACAATTGAACCAAAGGCAGGAACTGCACAAATTCTCGTATTTTGACAAAGGAAACTAAAGCTTATCGATCATAAGTTGAAAGAACTAACTTAATGAAAAAATTGGAACTAAATTAATCTGAAAGCAAAGGAATTAGTTAGTGGATACCTGCTACGCTGGTTAGGATAACGTTTCAAAGTGAACCAACATATATAATAAAGAGTGCAGCACGTTCAACTGTTAGAAACTTAGAAGGCTACATATAAACTGGATGAATTGGAGCCAAACACGACCGTAGCATCATCAGATTTCTCTGTGAATTTCTACTCAGATGCGCGAATTTTAGGGGGAGCGAAGAGATTGGATGCACGGTTAGGGTTAAGATAGTTGAGATCCATGGTGTCTGGTAAAGAAAATTGATTAATTCTCTTACCGTTTTCTGCCAAATGCTCATCGTCGCCCGACATAATCACACGGATTCTCCTTCGCTCACAACCTCGTAGCTAAGTCTTTGCACACAACTGTTAATTTCAGCAGGGCCTCTGTAATTTTTTTTTCGCAATTTAGTTGTTCCCAATATCCCTTATTGTCTGGAAAGAAAAATGGCGACAAGGGTTGCTTTGAGATTTATGAAGGAGAGATAGGGAATGTGGTGCTAGTGAGAATTGGAAATGAGAGGTTTGGTAGGTTTGTGTTGAGGGAAAAACTTTAACTTCTTCCGTCAAATCCTAACCTTGCGTGTGCGGGAAATCCGCATAAAAGAAGAAAAAAAACAGAACAATTCAATCAACACGCATCAGATGGCGTGCAACTCCAAAAACAATGTCCAAAAACTGGGAAAAGGCAAAACGCTGTACGTCATCGTTTAAAAAATGATGTGGAGAAGAGATGGTGGCAGTAAGTGTAAAAAGACAACAAATTTAGGGGCTGTTATAACTATTGAACACATGACACGTGTCGTCCATAGAAGCATTCAAAATGGGACACGTGTCGGCGTTTGAAGCTCCCTAACTTTCCCATATAAGATATAAGGGAGATATTTTAGTTTTTGGCCAAAGGAAAAGGGTTTAGGGGTTCGGGTTTTAGGGGGAAAAGAAAAAGACTAGCCCTCTACCCTCTCGCTCTCTCTCGAACGACTGAAGAAGAAGAAGCTCGGCGCCTCTATTCTCGTCGGCCTGCCCTCACCTCTCTTCTACCTGCGCCCATTCCTCTCTTCTTTACCCTAAGGTAGAGTTATTATTCTGTGCTTTTCTCCCTAATTTGGATTTTTGTTGGGCTTATGGTACAATTGAATTCAGCCAAAATCGACCTTACTGTGAATCCCAATTCTGAAACTGGCGTAAACTAGTCGCTTCCCTACATCAGAAACCTAGCACTTAACTCTGGTTGTTAAACCCCAAGCCTAATCCTTACCCCTCTTGCAGAAATGGCGGCATTGCAGTCGGAGGATGGCATGTGTGATGTCGCTATGAAGCCGAAGCTGCTCCGCTCGCTGCTGAGAGAGTATGTTCCGGACGAGAGACACCCGTTCACCAACCCCTCGGAGCTTTCATACGTTGTATCCACAGTTAAGACACATAAACTGCTGTATGAATGGGTTCCGCAGCCCGTCAAACAGGATCTCGTGGAAGCTTGGAAATCAGCTGTTGACTCGTGGGTTCATCGGTTGCTCACACTGGCATCTAGCAATCTGGTGAAAGATATATGTTTATTTGTTTTTAATATATTTCGTTTATTGACTGTCATAGTTGGCATAGAAACATGTAACAGCAAGCAATGTGTACTATCCAAAATTTCTGTGTTATGCTGTTCTTTAACATAATTAGCTTAAAACATGTCCCAAAAGTGAATTGTTCTGTGCCTTGATGGATATTATAGTATCTCCAATCCTCAAGTGTAGTTATTGTTGATATGATGTAGTTGTTTGATGGTTCCTTTTTCTGGGTATCTTTTTGCATATTAGTCACTAGTGCTAATTGGAAGTATTTATTAATACATAGTTACGTACTCTTTCTGATTATAAGATTACAGGTGTTAGTATTATTTTTTGTTAATGAATGGACTTCAGCCAGATAAGTGTTGGGCTGGAATATGTTTGCTTGGATTGACCAGTCAAGAATGTTGTCCGGATCGCTTTTTAACTTCATATGCTGCTTGGTTTGATAAGCTTCTCTCATGCATTCAGGTATGACTTCTGATTTAACTTTAGATGGGTATAGTCAATAATTCATTGCATTTTTCAACTGCATTTTCGTGTTCTCATTTTAAATGGTTAGTTTATTATATATGCATGTATTCCTCTTCAATTGTAAAGTAGTGACTCATTGATATTTATTTAAATTAATTAAGTTGGTCAAATTATATTTTATTTGTGCTTTTTAAAAGTTTTTTTTTTTTGTTTTTAAATCTAACATTTTTTTTTTTGAAATCTGAAGTGCTTTTTGAAACTTATTATCCAATTAGTAGTTGTTAATTTTTTTTATAGTAATGAGCATCTGTGCTCTTCGAGACTTCAAGTAACAATATGTTTGGGTTGGGGAACTTATGTGACAAACTTAAGATTGCAGTAATTCCATTTCTTGAACTAATCCTTTTATATATTGTTTACTTGCCCTTATCTACAGCTTCCGGACGTTTCTAATTTTGTGAAGGTGGCATCTTGTGCCTCACTATCGGATATGTTTACAAGGTTCGTTTTGGACTTGGAATATTTGCCGATGTCCATCATAATAAGTACCTCACGTTTTGGATAAAAAAAATTTGGAAATTTGATTTTGTCGGACAACATTTTCACTGTTTAGTGATGGAAATCTGTGTCCAGAAGTCTGTAGCAACCACTTACAACTTACGTAAGATAAGCTTATGTTTTCTAGGTGAAGGTGCTAAAATACGTGGAACTTCGACCTTTGACCGATGCTAACATTTATGACAATCTCAATGATAACTATGTTTATTGTTGTGAGGAACCTACATTTGCATGTTCGTACAAGTGCTGAGATCTGTATAAGTACTGATAATGGTAAATAGCATTTAGCTTACTCTAGTTTTCTGAAATAAGAGAATGAATAGTTTAGCAGGAATTAAAAAAATGAAGAGTTTATTAGACTGAGAGAATGACCTTGGTAATGCAAGAGTGATGGGGTGGGGTTTCATGTGGGTTGTAATCTGTTGGACTACCACATAATTAGAAAGAGCTGCAAAGTTAAATTAAACAATATGAATAGTGGCTAATGTAAATTATATTACAGCAGTTGTGAGATTAAATGGAACTTTTCTGTCCCAGGCTTTCAAAAGCTCTTATGAGACCTAGTAAAAGGAGAAAATATTGGGTGTTTCCTGTCTGTGTATTTAAGGACCATATTTGTTGAAAGACTTGCTTTAATTTTTGCACCAAGGAGACATTTTGCCCCGAGAGATGGGTATGGCCACAGAACTAAGTATATATTATAAAAATCCTTTAATATTTGCTATTTTTTGTATATTTCATGTGAAAGGTTCCCACAACTTCCATTTGTGTCATAGAATAATGTGAAGAAATTTCAGCCCCTTAGTTCATGTCTGGTTACCTTGCACTCTACTTCAATTTTGTGGCATCTCAGTTGACAAAGTTCTGTAGTGTTTCACCATGGTTATTTAGTTGTTTCTTCAGCCACTATAAAACATGTTGAAATTTTAATTGATAGTTTGTTCTGATCTTATTCTCTATTTATTAGGTTGGGTGGATTTTCAAATGCAAAAAAGGATGGGAATTCACATTCAACAAAAGTTATTCAGCCAACACTGAAATTATTGATCGAGGAGAGCTCTGCTGATGTTTTGGTTGGTACAGCACAATATTCTGTTTCCTACTAAAACTCGGTTTTCTAATCTTTTTTGTTTTTGATCTTTCAGTACTGATGCATTCTTAAATGTAAAATGCATTGGTTTTGGATTCTGCATAGAGAACTGTATCATGCAACCTATTTGGGTCGCCAATGAGCTTAGCTGTCCTTCTTACAGGAATCATTTTGTAGTGT